TCAATTTTCCAAACATGCTTGTACATAACGGCATCCTTGATCATTGATAGACACTCTCCTTTGCATGTGCTTTTTTCTTTACGAACGAAGACCTCCGCTCCAAACACGCAGGCATCAGCCATGAGAAATCCATTGGAAGTGTCAGTAAAAGCTTTGAGAGAGAGGAATTGATCAAATCCCCAGTCAAGCTTCATCCCCTGGAAGTGCCTTTCATTTTTTTCTAAGCAATTAATACATATGACATAAAAAGAAAAGAATCAGAATATGGGGCAGTACTTTGTATACATGAGAAACATTGGCTTATCTGTTCTCTGCTGTATGTTTAAGAATTAAATGAAAAGAAATGGTACCTTGAAGAGCCAAGTACTTTGCCAGTATTCTGATCAAGCAAAAACAACCTGAAAGCATCATGCACTTCCCAACGAGTCTGGGGGGCATTTGCTCCTGCCAATACTAAATAGAGAGAGATGTGCTCTTTCACATTCCTGCTCTTGTTCCCATTTGGATAGAAAACCAATTTCCTGCAGCAAAACCACAATTGATAGTACTCTAATGCACCTTGAACATAAGAAGTAAATAATAACAACGAATGCAAATTAAGGTTATGAGAACAGAGTAACGTAAGTATAAGAACTTGTTTACGAAATGAGAGAAAGGAATAGTGTACCATTTGTATCCTCCAGCTTCAAACACCCCTGATTCATATTTCTCCAGTGAATGTACGGATAGCAATGAAAGCGACTGTATTTTGATCGTGTAATGAGTTGGAGGTGCATCTGAAATTGTTCTCAAAATCCCTGGAATTAAAATGTTGGCAACACAAACAAGAACGTATCAGGGATTGTATACATCAGGTGTCTGTAACATGCCATGTTTACATCAGCTAGTGCTTTCAACAAACATACGCAAACAGATAGTGACAGAACCTTACCGTCTTGTTCATCGAAGTTAAGACTAGTCATGTTCATGGCAAAAAACTTGACTGTCGAACTTTGAAGGTGCTGATAATTGATGCAGGTTACAAGATTCAGATGGGTTTTCAGCTTTTAAAAGGAGAAATAAAAGGTGTTATTCCAAACTTGAAACATGTTAAGGATAGGACACTTATGCTTTGCTTTTGCAGGACAATATTTTGTTGTTTTGTTTTTCAAGGAAAAGGTCTCAATGACCTGCTTGTAGGTGTTTTGAATCATGTACCTATTCAAGATCCCACGCAACCACGTTTATTAAGGTTGAGAGAGAGAGAGAGAGAGAGAGAGAGAGAGAGAGCGTGTGTGTGTGTGAGACTCTCACCTTTTCTTGCCACACCTAGACCATGCACAACATTGCATTGTTAAGTAGCTTTCTGCATGCTGTATGAGGCATGTCTCTTGATCTCTCTGTATTAATTTTTCAATCTCTTCATTGTCCATTTTTATTAAATCAAAGGAAAAAAGTTTTATGAAAAAGTGGCGTACTTGACTAAGAGCAAAGAAACTATGTAAACGAATTACCTAATCAATAGCTTCATGTGTTTGTAGAGTGTACGAACTGAGAAAGAAAGGGACAGATTTTATATCTTAACGGCACATGTACAATCATAAAGCTTGTTTTATTAGAAGCAAAGCATTGTTGCCAGGGTGAATATCTTTATGTCTTTCTGCAGTGACCATTGAAAGATATTCCATGACAAGACACTTGAGATTATAAATTTTTAAATCTAATTTCTTGTCAATAACACTTTTAAAATTCATAATTTATCTGCTGATTGCTCCTTAAAGTTTTCATCTCTAGGTCCTTCCTGGTTTCTTTAGTGTACTTGTGGTATATGAGATTTCAGTTTGTTCTAGAAAAACATAGAGCTCTGCTTCGGTTACTTCCTCCATGTTATGATGATCCTTTCGCATTGATTGTTTGCCTGCTTTTTTGTGCCCTATATAACATAACAGATGCATGCTTGGATGAATTTCCTTTGATTTTTCAACCAAAAACAAAAATTCTGCATGACATTGAGAGCTTGTTAACGCATTTTTCTGTACATTTCATTTACAGACAGTCATGGATTCCATTTCCATCTAGGAAAGTTACGAGGAGGACACTGGTTTTCTGTTTATGTGTTACGACATCGAGAAAACCTTTGGCTTATCTTACCATCTAATCTGTAAAACTCATAACCTTGATAATGCCACACTATCTTTCCCATGTCCATTTTTTTATCTAACAAGAAAGTAGAAAACTTGCAACCAAACTGTTTCTGCTCTGACAATAAGCTTACCTTTTTCTTTTTCTTTTCTATTTTTAATATATTTCCGTACGACTCAGCAGAGACTAAAAGTTGTAAGGTTGAAGAAGTTACAGAAAAAAAAAGAGAAACAAAAAATGCAGAGGATTAAGGAGCCTTTGACAACAACTAAAAGCACGTAAAGTCCAAAAAATGGAGACATATTTATTCACCACCAAGGTCAGAAGAAGAGATACAACCATATTCATAAGGAGATACCATTTCTGGTCTCCAGAAATGAAAGCTTTTGAGTCGTAGAATTTGGTGTCTAATAACTTCGAGAAGTTGTCAATTTTCCAAACATGCTTGCTTGTACATAACGGCATCTTTTACCATTACCATTGATAGACACTCTCCTTTCCCTGTACTTCTCTCTTTACAAAGAAAGACCTCTGCTTCAAACACACAGGTGTCATCTACGAGAAATCCATTGGAAGCTTTATGAGACATAAACTGATCAAATCCCAATCAAGCTTCATCCTAACTATATTGCTCTTTGTTCTAGCGAAACAGAGAGCTTTGCTTCTGTTACTTGCTCTGTGTTCTGAGGATCTTTTGGCATGTTTTGCTTGCTTTTCTATGCTTTAATAATAGATGTATGCTTGGATGAATTTCCTTTTATCCGCAGTTTGGTATAATCTGAATGTAGCTACTTAGTTCTAGAAGTTCTTAACACAGATTGAATTGCGTTCTGGAAAATTTTAGCCAATTGGTTTTGCATTCTCACTTTAAGGAGAATAACCTGTATACTTTGCTTGTTTCGTATAGATTCTTGGTTCCGAGAGACATGTCTGTCGGGCAGTTTATTCATATCTTAAGCAGCAGGCTACACTTGACTCCTGGGAAAGCTCTTTTTGTCTTTGTGAAGAATACGTTACCGCAAACAGGTAAAACACACATTATTGATTCAGCTACCAGTTTTATTTAGATTCTGCACGACATTGAGAACTTGTTAACACATTTTTCTGTGGATTTCATTTACAGCCAGTCGTATGGATTCCATCTACGAAAATTACACGGAGGATGATGGTTTTCTGTATATGTGTTATAGCAGCGAGAAAACCTTCGGCTGATCCTTCCATCTCCTCCCCTAATTTATCAAATCGTTCATATTAGCAACTTGTAAGTATCTGTTGTTAACTTGTTCTCATTGCGAAGGGGCCTGTGAGGCTTGCTTCACTGTATCCTTTCATGTTCATTGTAAATTTGATTTATTGTGAATTCTGTAAAAGTTCATAACATTCAATAATTCCATATTTTCTTTCCAATCTCAACTTTCTATAATTAATAGCCATCGTATAAGTGGGTTCAATATTAGCTAACAAGTCCTAACCAAAAAATTATCGAGCAAGAAAGAAGAGAACTTGTAACCTTCCCTATCTTTTTAAATTATCCTTTCCTATTTTCAATATGGAAATTTCCATACTACTCGGCAGTAGACTATCAAAGTTACATTGGAAAAAAATAAAGAAATGCGGAGGTTCAGGATGCAGCCATATTCACAAGACGATGGATGGGTATCAGAAATTCCATGCCGGAAAAAGTTGCATGAAAGGAAAACTAAAAGAAGACATAAATGATATTATTATTCAGACCACCGAAGGCAAAAAGAAGTGGTACAACCTTATTATTCATAACTGAATGAATATTTTTTCAACACCGTATTTGAGACACAGTGCTTACTATTTATTTTAGTCTAGCGCAGTAGAAGTTCCATGCACAGTGACCTCTGCCTCCACGGTGCAACTATCCTTCACCAAGTACCCCCGGTTCGACTGAGCAATATTGAAATATCCGATTGAAATGAATCTCGGCCAGCCCCGGCTGGGACTGGAGGCACTGAACCACCAAGTAACTGCAGGATGAAATGAAAAAGAAGAAGAAAAATGAATGAAGCGCTAAAGACCGATAATTAAAAAGTGCAGAGAAAAGAATGTTGGCATATTACCATGGGTCCAGCCCATGATGGAAAAACATTCTTTCGGTGGTCAAAGTGGATATCCAACACCATGATAGAATACTCTTTCGGTGCAACACTATGATGAAGAGACAAAATGATAGTGTTTTTGTAATGATGGAAGACATCATGATGCTCTCTTTGGGAAGCTTTTTGACTAGCTATCATTATGGTTCTTTTTTGCATGCACGTGGGCTACTTTTAGAAGTTGGTTTTCAGCCATTTCATTTGGCTATATAAGGAGCATGCGGCAGATGGTGTTGGTGTGTGTTGTGTGGAAGAGTCAGAGAGAGTTGTGTGAGTCTTGTGTGCTGCACCAGAGGGAAGAAGCCGAGAGAGAGGGAAGAAGCCGAGAGAGAAGGAGAGAACACCATCTGCAAAAACCATTAGTATTCCACTCCAATTCTGTGAGAGTGAGAGAGTTCATTGTGTTCCACTCTAAGTGTGTGAGTGAGGTAAAAACAGGAGAGTATAGTGTGGTGTCATTGTACTTTCTCTGTGTGTATCATCAAGCCCTGGGCATTGGCTTGGTAAGATCTGTCTTGTTGTACCCATTATTTTGTTATAGTGGAAGAAGTTTATATTGCTGCCCCGTGGACGTAGGCATTGCCGAACCACGTTAATTCC